TTCTGGTCATTACTGATCTATTTCACATTTGCATCTGGTTTTCTGGGGTGAAGTTTCTCTTTATGAACAAATTCTTTGCCTCCTCTCATATCCAATTTGATATTATTATTGAATACAATACTAGGAACAGTTGGCTGGAGTAACTCATCATTATTTACCTGCACAGGAGTCAGTCAAGCAGGCATAACATGCATATTCCAATTCTTTGCTGTGAGTGGCCAGTTACTGTAAAAGTTCTCTACCTTGTAACTCATATCCTTAGGAAGTTACTTTCATTTTGCTAAAGGATATGGCAAACAAGACTTTCAAAATTTTGATCTTTATTAATCCATACAGAAATAAAGTGGATGATTAAAAACAAAACCACCATGACATAAAACAAGTTAAAACACTATTTGATTTAATGGTGGATTTAGCATCTCACAGTCACTTGCACATTTAGAGATTGTTATATCTCTGTAGTTATTATGAACTGCCTATAGCTTTTTCTTCCCATTTCTGAATGAAATATTGGTGCAAACTATCATCATGATCTTACACACCACCTGTTTCTGCTAATTTTCTCATCTTTCTGTCATCATATATCTCCTTATTTTACACAGATTTATATATCCTCTACAAACAATTAAATAAATCTTGTAGGCAATAGAACTTTTGATGATCTCACTGAAACAGAGGAAGTTGTCTGAGATTTAAACAGACAGTAATTAAATATTCATTGCCACTCTCAGAATGAATTAATCCAGCAGTTAAATCTGCACAGCAGCTATTTAACAGGAAACATCTAAATGTGGATTCTAATATATTCTGAGTATTAGTATTTTTTTTTTTTATTTGAGGGGATATGCACATGTGACCTTGTTCAGGAAAGAGTTAATTCACTGATTTTAGATGACCCTCAAGCTTCCAGACAGTGAGGATACAAAGAATTATACAGTAAGACATTGGATTTTTTTGGTACCTCACTCCCGTTTATTTCCTTCTTTAAAACCATCTAGGTGATACAATCAGTTAATTAATTGGCATCCTAACTTGTATTCATAGAACTCATGTGATTTTTAAAATTGAATTTTCATAAAAGAGTTTAGGCTATGAAATTTTACAGGTTTTGACAGGGGCCATCACATTATCACTGTGTATAATCATATTTGCTTTTGTATAACAAGGCAGCTTCAAACAGCAACGTAATTACCAAGAAATTAGGGAATGGAGATTGAAAATTGCACTGAAGGCTTCAACACAAGTTGTCATAGTTACTTCTGGAAAAAAGAGGGGACCAGCAAGTAGCAACTGGACCAGGGAAAGCCTCTAAAAAGTAGCCATGGGCCCTTCTAAAGTAATGGATCAGGCACAGCCAGGCTGAGTATGGTAACAGGGTAGTGTGGGTGGAAGACTTCTAGAGTAGGTGAGAGAGCCAAAGAAAGTAACAGGCTCATGTAAAGGAAAAGCAAGGAAAACAGAGAAATGTGTGATGTCAAACTGCCTGAAAATCTCTGGGGGGATGTAACAAAGCTTTTGCTCATGACCTCTTTCATTGAATGTGTAAATAGGCTGAACAGCAGCTTGGGCTGCCCTTTTGGTGGTATTTAATTCTCATCTCCTGTGACTAATTAGCTTTGTTCATTAGAAGTAAACAGGATCAAGGGGCAGTGTGGATAATGGTGACGGTGATGTTCTATAAAGCACGAGGGAGCAGCAGCCTCAGACACAGCAAAACATTACCAAGATGGGTCACTACAGGTCATCTCATCCATTTTACCCTGCAAAGTGGTGGATGGCTCCAAGGCCCTAACCCAGCTTGTTGTAAGGCCTTGAGACCTTTATCTTCCTTTCATGTTTCAGAGGAAGGCAATGGTGTCATATCCTTGGTGTGACACACCCCCCCAGGACTCAGCAGCCAGATGCAGGTGCTGGGCAAAGCTGCTCTGCGGCATCCACGTGTTCACTGGCAGAGAAGGGCAGGAGCTGCTCACTCCTCACAGCACATCAGCCACCCCACGCCCTGCTCAGCATTTTTATACACCCAAAAATCAATCTTACACACCTGCAAGTACCCCCTGATGACAGTCACAGCTTTACACTGGTGTAGGAGAACCTCTGTACAGCAGAAATTACCAGAGAACATTTTGGACCACCCAGTCCTTTTTTGGGAGAGATGTAATAGAAAACAGCTAAGTTAGCTCAATAAATGTAAGCTATATGTGTTGCTTTCCTCTGACATTCCTGACCCTCTTTTGGAAGATTTCTCTTCTTTCATACATTCCCCAACACATTTTAATGCAGTTAACTAACTCAAACAGTTCAGTGCTCTCACCTTAACCAATTTATAAACACAATCTTTTTTTTTTTTATCTCAAAGGATGTACTGATCTTTATCTTTTCCAAGTAGAACAAAAATACTGGAGAACAAAGGGCAAAATTTTCCATTAGTGTGAAAAGCTCCAGGACTCATTTGAAGAAATGTTGTGAACCATATATTTTAATTGTGGGAGGAATTACAGTAAACACCTATATTTGGCTCTTCAAAGTCAAAAGAAGAACTAAGAGATTTTCTAAGCAGAACTAAGAGCTTGACTAAGATAAGACTTTATTATATGAAGCAGATCCCATCCTGTAGAAAATTACCCTTCGGAAAGTTGTTCCAGTTGTTATTATTTTAACTGCTTAAATAAAACTCTAATTCTAATTAGTGCTGGCTCCAAGATTTGCCATACATCAATATACATGGGTGGCTGTGACTGTACTGTGTAATTCTATTGTGTGATGAAAATGCTGTTTTATAAAGCAAGTGTCCTAGAGACTATGTTTATGTTAAACTCACAAACTTCCAATTAATAAAGTAAATAAATTGATCTTTGAAGTGTCTTATCAACCAACATTTTTCCACACCTTTACTAATTTTCCCAATATTTTTTTAACTGTATGCAATTTATCCCAGACTGAGGACACTATAGCTGAATACAGTATTCTGAAAACATTTACCCTGAAAGGCAGAATATGTGTAACTTCACATCTTGTATTTGAAAACCCCGTGTTTATAATTCAGAAAAACTCACTATCCCTTTCAGGCACAGCGTTCCAGAGGGAGCTTACTTCAGTGATTGTCTACCATGATCTTCAGGTTTGTTCAAACCTCACATTGTGCCTTCTGCTTCCTGAACATTAAAAGCATGGAATAATTTACATGAGAAAGATGAAGAGCAGAAAAGATCTTGACCCTGTGCAAGCACTGTTCAGCAGTAACTAAAACATCCCTGTGTTATCAACAGTTTTCAGCACAAATCCCAAACACAGCCCCACATTGGTTACTGCAAAGAACTTTAACTCTGTCCCTGACAAAGCCAGTAGAGTCTAAGCCAAAAATTGTCTTTAAATCATTTATAAGTGTTTATCAATATTATAATGCACATGATTTTACAAAGCTCTACAAGGAGGGAAGTGATGATGGTGAGAAAGATCCTCTGGCTGCACTCGATCTCCTTTAAGTTCTTAAGCTGGGAGAGCAACTTTTTACACAGGCAGATCATGATAGGAAAAGGGGCAATGGTTTTAAACTCTTAAAAGAGGAAAGATTTAGATCAGATGTCAGGAAGGAGCTCTTTACTCAGAGAGTGGTGGGGCACTGGAACAAGTTGCCCAGAGAAATTATGGATGCCCTGTCCCTGGAAGTGTTCAGTGCCAGGGTGGAAGGGGCCTTGAGCAGCCTGGTGTAGTAAATGACATCCCTGCCCACGACATGGGACTGGGACATGAGATGTCTTTCAGGTCCCTTCAACCCAAGACATTCTGTGATTCTATGATTATTATTCCAAGACTAGTACAAATTCTTCTTTTATTCCTACATGACAAGATCTTACTAATTTTTTTGCACTATTGCAGTAATCAATGGTAATTTAACCTCCTATATTTGTCTTACATTAATATTTTAGACTGCAGATAGAATTTTTAATTTTAGCAAATGGTGAATATATTTCAGGGCTCCTTTTTTGAGTGAGCAGCTGTGTTTCACACTCTGTGGATTCTTCCACCTGCCAGCACACAAAGGACTATAGGGTCAGCCCCTAGCTGTGCTAGCAGGACCAGAGGAGCCACTTGTTTTTCAGAAATGTGAGGCAAAATAAAAGTAGCTTGTACTCTCTGGGGCTATTTATCTGCAAGTTACTAGGAATTTTGACCTGCATAGGTCAAAATACAGTACTTTAGATAAAAATATAGTACTTAACTAGTAAAACACAAACTATGTGTAGTTGCAATTTAGGTTATCAATTATCAACCTTTAAATCTTGGTCTCACCTTAGCTAACAATATTCACCTTTACACTGGGAAGGGAAATCATCCTTAATAGAAAGTTCCTTCATTAATATTCTATTACTTGACCACATAAGAATATAATTATATCATATTATACATCCATTGTTTATATAGGATGAGGGCTGCAAAATATTTCCTGCCACTATCCACAAAAAGACTTGTGTGTCAGCTCTGCAGTCCCTAGAAGCCCATGCAGAATTCTCTTAAAGATGGTTGGCATTTTTCTGCTGCTTTCTACATAAACTGCCTTCCAGTTTTTAAGGCTGAACTTATCTAACTTTCTGTGTAATATTTTTAACAATTTCCTTCTAGTTCTGTCAGTTGGTGTATAAGCCATCTCTATTAATTTGGTCACTCATAACATAAATCATATTAGGAGAAAATTAGGCTGCCAGCAAAAACCCTAAAAAAATACAGGGAAACGTCTGCATTTTTCAGAACATTGTGAGAAATATGAATTTCAGCAGGTTCTCAAGCTCTGCTGGAGTGGCAGGGACTAATGAAAGTTACTGTACACCACCCACTGAACAGAGTTAAGTAGACAGTCTGATTAATTAAAGTGTCAGTTCAGCCAATGGTTTCAATTTCTCTTTTTCACAAAATAAAAGCTACAATAAAAAAATATGGAAAAAACTTATTAGGTTATTTAGGTAATTTCCTGTCCTTGCAGAATAGTCCCTCCAATGCCATTTTTTTCCAATTTGTTCAATGCATTTTAAAGGCTTGGAAAGGTGTAAACCACAGCTGATGGCCACAGAAGAATTTACTGTCTGCTAAACCCTGATATCTGTCCTGACACACAAGTAATTACTTTTATTTTCATAACAGTATATTGTCTACTTAAATAATGTCCTTGCACCTCTCTATAGAGTGAATATTCCTATACTGCAAATACCTAAAGGCTACACTAGAAACTCCCTGCTCATTGTCCTTCAGTGTCTGAAAAGACCTGCAGTGTTTTGAGTCTTGTCAAAACACTTGACAAATAATCCAGATGCAGTCCCTTTTTGTAATACCTAAGCAGTGTGACAAGGGCTGCAGTGGTGGGAAGGAGATAAAGTCTCTTGTCTTGCCAGAGGCCAGTGTTCCTGATTTGCTCTGTCTGTAGTGTGGTGCAATCCAGCTGTGTGAATGTAAAATCATATATAATATATAACAAAATCAGAAATACATCAAATTGAAGTAGCAAAGGCTTGGCCTCTGGAAAGTTTGGTTTTTCCTTATTTTCATGTGACATTTTTTTCAGGTGTTTGTAGCCCCATTGCATGTCCTGCCTTTCCATGTGGAAGCATGCATTTTTGCTGTAAAAGCGATCTGGTTACCAAAATTTTAACAGCATTTTTGAACAGAATTATGAATATTGCTGTTACAGTTCTCTGGGATTGAAAACTATTACTGATTTCCATATTTCCCCCAAAGAGCAGCAGAAGATTCCACTTTTACAATGAAACAATTGGGAAGATAAGCACAGGTCTGAACACCATCAAAGGCTTAGTGGCTCTGGGTCAGGAGTATATAGAAAGACATAATTGAATAAAATCTCTCCTCTCAGAGGCAGGCTCTATTAGATGCATGGGGAAAATGCAATTAAATGAAAATAGTAGCCTATACTCATCTATCTCTGCTATTTCACTGACAGGGTGAGAATTAAAATATTATATTCCAGGCCTTTACAACTTATTTTCTACATTTCTGCACTCACTTTCTCCTCCCTCTGTACTGTACACGTAGTATATGTAAACACCCATAGTTTTGAATGCATATTCTAAGTAAGGCACCTCTGTTTATCATGAGATCTTTGTCTTTATACCATATGTTAACTCTGCAGCCATGGAAATGGAAAGAAAATGCTGCTTTTTCATACAAAGTTAAAACTTTCTTTTTGCCTTCCTCCAAGTAGGCAGCAGATCCCCCTGGCTGAAGAAACCACCTGGATGGACATCAATGGTCTGCTACCTTTGGTGTTAAAGAGCTGGAGATGCAGCAGTAAATTCTGAGTGCCTTCTGAAGTCACCTTTGTATTAAATGAACGAGGCATAAAATATGTGAGTCCCTTGTGGTTGTCTAGGTTCTTCGCAGTTTAATTACAATATCTAACACCATCTGAATACAGTGTTTTGACAAAACAGTGAACAATTGTGGATTAACCCACATGGGTGTTATTTGTAGCAGTGAAACTAAGAGAGGTTTAAAACCAAACCTGAAAACCTGATTCCAAAGCAACCTCTGCTCCCTCAAGATATAAATTCTGTCCTTAATGTGTTTGGTTTGGGTTTGTTTTGTTTTTTATTTTTAATAACTGTTCCGGGTGTGTCAGGTAGAATGCCTGCCAATTATTTAAAAGAATACAACCGCTATATGCAAGCGAAGTGGACTTCACCTAAAACTGGATGATGCAACACCCCAGTACTCTAAGGCAAGGGCCTGGAAAACGGGAAAGACAAGCGAAACCTCATTTGTGTTGCCCTGCTAAGCTGCTGGAGCCCGGCTCTGCGAGAAGCCCTGTGAGCTCCGGGCACTCAGCCGTGGGTGCGAGGGAAGCCTTTGGAAGCAAGGAGCGCTGCCCCGGCCGGCGCTCGGAGGTCCCCGGGCGCTGCCGCCCCGCTCCCCTCAGCGCGGCCGAGCGGGCGCCTGCGCGGGGCCGCCCCTCGGGCCCCTCCGCCCCGCCCTGCGGCCGAGGCTCCCCGAGCGGAGGGAGCGGGGCTGGGGCTGGGGCTGGGGCCGGTCCGGGGCGGGGCGGGGCGGCGCTGCCGCCGCTGCTGGCGGGAGCTCGGCGGGGCGGTGCCTGGCGCGGACCGCCCGGCCCCACCGGCGGAGCAGCAGCGGGAGCGCGGCCCGGGCGACTCGGCCGCGGGCGGTTCTGGCGGCCCGAGCGCCGCGCCCTTCCCCGGCTCCATGTCGGCGTGGCTCGGCCGGGCGGCGCTGCTGCTGGGGCGGCCGGGGGGCCCCGCCGCCGTCCCCTCGTCCTGCCTGGGCTCGCTGCGGGGCCCGCGGTGCTGCTGCCGCCGCCGCCTGAGCTGCCTGCGGGGCGGCGCCGAGGGGCTGCTCCTCCCGCGGGGGTCGCGGGCGCTCGGCACTCACCCCAAGAAGGAGCCGATGGAGGCGCTGAACACAGCGCAGGGGGCCCGCGACTTCATCTACAGCCTGCACTCCACCGAGCGGAGCTGCCTGCTGCGGGAGCTCCACCGCTTCGAGTCCATCGCCATCGCCCAAGGTGAGCCGCGACCCACCCGAGCCCGGCTGGGGTGGGAGGGCCGGGCCGGAGCGGGGGCTGAGCCTCCGAAGTTTGGGGGTGCTCCCGCCCTCGCCCAAGCGACTCCTTCGGGCGGGTAGGAAACTCCAGCAGAAGGAGGCATCGAGAAGCGCTCACCCCTGTGTGTTCGCGTAATTGGGTGTAAATGAGGCACACGACCTGAAATTTAGTTTCCAGAAGCATCCGCAGCACCTTTGGAACTTGGCTAAATCGGCCCAATGTGCCAAATCCTCGGTGGGTCTGTCATTCTCACCGGGTGTTTCAGAGAGCCACGGGTGGCCATTTTTCGGAATGGGAGTAACAAAGTGTGTCTCATAAAATCCCCCTGACACCAGGGCAGCAGTAAATTGATTTCAGACCTCTTAAGAGACGCCGGGCTACTGCTGCTCTGGGAGCTCATTCATGAGTTACACTTCCCTGCCCGGAGAGCTGCCGGCGCTCTTGGAAGTGTCGGTTCTCATTCGGGAGGGTGTGTATGTGCTGGGAAGGTTTACTGACGTACCTCTGAATACAGGGCTATGCAACGCCAATTAAAGAAATTTACAGTGATTTTTCTCGTCTGATCCAACTGTTCATGCCAACTTGACACTGTTCCTTAAACAAATCAAAACCTGACAAAACCAAATCCTCTTAATTACAGCCTCCTTACTTCTAGTTCTGATCCTCAGCTGTAATTTACAATCCCTATTGCAGCGAAGATGATAGCGGGTACTTAAGAGATCAGTGTGCATTTGATCTAGGCCTCTTTGTGACTATGATAGTAGCGTGCCCTTGGAAAGGGCATTTCTGTGTCTTGTGGCTCCTCTGTAGATACCTGGAAGAAAATTTGGGTGGGCAGAGAGCAGGTCTGAGGGTCAGCTGTAAAAGTGTTGCTTTTGTGAAGAGACAGAACCCTTCCAGGTATCACTTTGGTTTTGTTTGTAGCATACTTGCATATAAACACTAGTGTTTCTAGTCAGAGTGGGAGTAGTTCGCTTAAACGCCTGATCTTGGGAGCAGCAGCGCTTCTGTTTTGCAGACAGTGAATCAGTTTTGTTTTACAACGCAGAGGGTAGAATGCTTTGAACTGTAGGTGGACACTAACTTTTGAATACTAACAACTAATGCTCTTCCCAAATAAATCCTTCTAAGCATCTGAAGGATTCTTGCCATGAAGTTTTTGTGTGAGTTTCTGTCTCCTCAGTTACTGCTCAGGTTAAATAGAACGGAACTGTGTACCTGGAGGATTGTGTGGTGGATATCAAAAGGAGACTTTAAAATTTCAGTATAGTGTCTCAACTTTTATACAGATGAAAATCAACAGATGGTCGTATTTAATATCTTGATGCTCAGATGCTGTTAGTTACAATGTGAAAGTCTGTTCTGTAAAATACTGTGACTTTCTGATGATTCAGGATGTAGAAGCAAAGTAACAATAGCATCACTTTGCATTTAGACATTTTACTGCATGGGAGTTTATTAGTTGGTTTTAAGTTTATTCCAGTAGTGGAAATTGCAGTTCACTTGTGCCTGAAACTAATCAGTAATCAGTAATCTTGCTGGAGAGATTATTTCAGCAAAATCTCAGTTGTGGGCTTAGTAGTCTCATAAGTAAGAGCTGCATAAAGTGTTGTAGTGCCATCAGACCTCATTCTTGGAGTCAGATTCTTGATCTGCCCATCTGGTTTGATAAGACATTTTTTGTAGATAACCTTTTCCTTTAGGCAGCTCTCTTCATGGGATATTTTTACCAGACTGCCGCATGGTAACAGCTGTCAGCTTTTACCTATAAGAAATTCTGTTTCTTCATGTGTTATGAAAAAAGAAAAATCATAACTGTAAAGGGCTTCTAGTAAGTCTGTTAAATAGAAATTGGAGAAAAACCCTATTTTGAATTTATTGCCCATAGCTGTTTTTGTAGAGAATTATTGAAAGAATTCATATTTTGTGTGAAGAAGGGCAGAGAGGTGTTGGATATGTATAATCACTGTCAATGCTGTGGAGTGCCAGAAGAAGACAAGGTGGATAGAAGGGCTACACTTGAAAGACAATTAGAGACTTTTCTGAGCTAGGTGTTTGTATTCTGTATTTAAAATGCTTCATTATGTTTAGAAATATTTTGTATGATTGCTCTTTCCTGCTGTTGAAATGGTGACTGTGAAGCAATGACCTGAATAGGTACACAGGTTGTGAGTAGCAGATGAGGGGAGAGCTATTTGTGCCTTGCTTTCTAGGTACTTTCTCTGATTGACTTGTGTCACTTTTGATCTTTACAAATCATGAGTTCAGTCAAGACAATACTGTTTTAGTGATGTTATCAATTGTCTCATTTGCTGGCAACATGCTGTAGCTCCCAGCAGCTGATTCTTTAGCCGAGGTCCCTGGTTGTACTTTTGTGTTGATTTCCAATGAAAGTGATCAAACGCAGCCTTCAAATTCTCTTCTTTACTGCTTGCATAAATTCCCATGTTCTGATTGAGTCTGAAAAATCAGTCTCTCCTTGATCATGAAACGCCTGTGTAGTTTTGCTACTCTGCTTAAGCTTATTTTGTGCCTGTGATCTTTTCATAATTCTTTATGGAAAGGGAGGTGTTAGTCCATACCCTTCTTAACACAGTCCTTATTGGGTTAAGTTTTGACCTTCTTCCCTCACTACCTCTTCTGTGCCCTAACAGACCCCATATCAGCTAGGGGAGGCTGTCAGCAATATGGGGAGACTTGGGCACATCAAGAACCAAATGGGGCAAGTTCCTCAGCCCGTTCCCAGGCCTACCACCAGAAGGAAGCAGTTCCAGCAGCTAATTGCCCTAGCAGGAAATATGACAGGACACACTATCTGTGGCCTCCGCTAATGGCAGAGGCTGCGGGGAAACCCATCCTTTGCTGCGGCTGCTACGCTCAAGGACAGTCCTCAGGTAGGTGAGCTGTAGCTGGTACCTGTAAGTTAGGTGAGTCTCTGAAGCGTTTTTGAAACTTAAAACATCTGTTTATGCTGTAGTCATGAAAACTGCAGGTGGGGAGAGGTTTGTGAGTACGTTCCTGCCTGCCATCACCTTGTCACCTGTATTACCGGCACGGTCATGGAGCTTCCAGACACTGGGCACTAGAGGTCGGCTAAGCAGCCTAGCTTATGAATAAACACTGACTGAAATTCTGCTGTTTGTTGTAGTGCTTCAGAAGACAGAACTCTGTCTGTGAGAATGTGATGGCTGAGAGCTGAAAGCCTGAGTTTGAATTCATAGATGCGCTTTGCATAGTAGAAGCTGGGGGGGAAGACTGTGAAACTGAACCTTGATAGAATAGTTCTCAGAAAATATTTTGAAAACTCTCCCAATTTAGACTATAATCTGTATCTTACTATCTTAAAATTTAGTCAAAACATCACTGAGCTGTTCTTTCTGAAGACAGCTGCAGATCCTTTCTCATCTGGATTTAGTTTTCCCTCTGCATTGAAGTGTTTAAGTGGTTTTTTTTTTGTGGTTTTTTTCTTTGTTTTGTTTTTTTTTGTTTATGATTTTGTTTTTTGTTTTTGTTTTTTGTTTTTTTCCACTTTTGAGCCTTGGAAACATGAATAAAGGGTCCCATTTTCCCAGGAAGAGCTTTGAAACAAAGATTTTAAATTTTAGCTTGTGTTTCTTGTAAGAATGTCAGCCACATCCAGCCACACTAGATAGAGATGATAGATGTGGAATTGAATACAAGTAATTTGTATATTTCTATTTTCATGGTTACAGGAACACTGGGAACACTGAAGTAGCAAGTAGGCTGGTTGACTTCAAATGTAATAGTCCTGCTTTCTGTTACTAGAAGTAGTGTCCCATAAACAAGGCTTAGTTTTGTTGGCTTCAGATAATCAGATTTCTCTTGTTTCTTTCTTGCATGATGGAGATGAAAGTGTCAAATCTTTCAGAAAATACAGAGAATTGATTTCATGCTTCTGACCTTCTATAGCAATATTCCATTGACAAAAGTGGAGTTAGGAAGAAGATGGAACCTCTTTCTTAAGGAGCTTGTAGTATTTAGGGTTTCTACCTTTGGTTTCCAGTGTATGATATGAGATGATTCATGAAAGGTGCACTTGTAAGCAAGCAGTGCAGCAAGCCTGGTAATGAGGCAGGGAAATACTAAAGGGTTTGACTTTAAGTAAGAAATACTCAACTTGGCATTTCTGCTGTGTCTTTATTGCTTCCTAGGGTACTGTTGGTCTTTTTTGTGTTGCTTTGCAATATTCTTGAGCCCAGATCTAACTACTTTTCATTAATATTACTAACACAGCGATTATCTAGGGCCTCTAAGAAATCTCAGGTCTTGACAGTGAAAGAATCCTTTATTTTCCCATCTTTTGTTGCAAAGATGGGAAAACAATTCCTGTTTTCCTATCTTTCTGTAAATACACATAAAATACATATGTATGTGTGTATATAATACATAAAATAGATGCTTTTAGTATATAATGTATGTACATTGTTATTGAACACAATTCCTTGAAAGCACCCAGTTGCATTTTATATTTTAAGTGGAAGACTTTTGTGAAATGATCACTAAATGAAAGGTCTTTTGGAGTGGAATTTCTTCTTCCTCTGCCTGGTGAGGTTGTGTATTACCTGGAAAACATGCAAAAAGACCATAGCAATAAGTCTTGACAACTGGTTTTGTAATTTAATTTGCAGGTTTTGTAGAATGCAGTTTCTAGCTAGATTCTCTTCGAAGGCATGGGATGTCATACCATTCGTAATAATCTGAGATACATAAATAATCTAACCAAAATGGCACTTCTGATAGAAAACTGTTCATAAATTCAAGTTACTGCACCTTGGTTTTGTTAAAAAAAAACCAAACAAAACCAAAACCGTAGCTTGCAGATAAAGGGCTCCACCTCCTTGCATTCAGCTGGGCTGAATGCAATCTCAGGGAATTCACAAGGTTTTAGGTATTGTTGGGTGAAATCTCATTTGGTGTCAGAAGAAACCTTACTGGCTTATGTTCTGGTGTTAAATTTAAGAGCTCCCCAGTTTACTAGAATAGCTTAGGGAGTGTTACAGCCTATGTGCCTCTACTTCCACAGCTTTACAAAAAAAAGTTAATTCAAAAGATGCACTGTCATCAAAGATGAGTGGATTTCAGTGAGGGTTTTAGGCACTCAAAACAAGTCTCCTATGAAAAAGATTCCCTCTGTTGCATGAATCAGATGCTTCTTGCTGATATGAACACACTGGTTCATCTGCCGTGGTGGTTTAGGGCTGCTTGGATTTTAGTGCCTCTTTTTGTTAGAACTGAATCTGTGCTAACACGACAAAGCACAATTCCATCTTTCTGGAAGTACTTGCCTTGTTTGAAGAGTGATTTCACAGTGCAGGTGTGAGGTTTGTGGTAAGCACTGCCCTCAGCCCCTGAGCTGGGGGAACAGGAGCTGTTCATGCTGTTGAGCTGTGCCAGGTACCGTGGCACCTGCTGGGGACAATGCTCTGTTCCTCCCTCCCTCATGCCCAGCACATGCAGGTCAATGCCACGCTGTGTGTGGAGCAATGTCATCTACTTCCCTCTCCCTTGCTGTGACCTAGGTCAATGCATTTTTTTAACTCTAGTGTTTGATTGCTATTCTAGGAAAAGGTCTTCTGGCAGACTGCTGGCAAGTGTCTAATTCACAAGTTTAAAGTGCCCTGTCAAGCTGGTAAAATGACAGACTCTTGCAGGCCTGCCTGTGCAAGTTCCTTTATGCTTTCAGACCATCGCAGCCTACACCAGGACTGTACCAATCTCACTGCTGTGTCAAAAAATGCTAGCTGGTGAAAGAAATATTATGTTTCAGATGGAAGGATGTGCTACATTTTGCTTTTGAAACTTTTTTTTTAAATAAACCCCCCACCTCCTGCCCCGAGTCTTGAAGCTCTCTCATGAAGGCAGAGTGCAGAAGGAAAAGTGCTACTGAGGCTCTGCTAGTCGTTTTCATTAATATCTGAACCTCATGCATCACAGAATCATAGAATATCCTGAGTTTAAAGGGACCCACAAGAATCATTGAGTCCAGGTCCTGGCCTTGCACAGGAGACCCCCAAGAATCACACCACGTGCCTGAGAGCATGGTCCAAGCGCTTCTTGAGCTCTGTGAGGATTGATGCTGTGACCACTGCCCCAGGGAGCCTGTTCCAGTGCCCAGCCACCTTCTGGGTGTGGAACCTTTTCCTAATATCCAACTTCAACCTTCCCTGACACAACTTCAGGCCTTTCCTTTGAGTCTGCCACAGACAAGAGATCAGTGTCTGCCCCTCTGCTTCTCTGGGCTGAGTTAGTTTGGACTGTTCAGCCTGAAAAAGAGAAGACTCTGGGGATACCTTGTAGCACATTGCAGCACATAAAGTGGGGTTTGCAAGTGTCCCAGAGAAGACTTTTCACAAAGATATCTAGTGATAGGACTAGAAGGAATAGCTTTGAAGTGGAGCAGGGTAGGTTTAAATTAGCTGTTAGGAAGAAATTCTTTACTATGGGGGTGGTGAGACACTGGCATAAGTTGTCCAGAGGAGCTCTGAGTACCCCTTTCCTACAAGTGCAGGTTGGATGGGGCTTGAAGCAACCAGGTCTAGTGGAACATGTCCTGTGGGGTTGGAACTAGATGATTTAATGATCTTCAAATCCAGACTGTTAGGCAATTTAGGAGCTGAAGCTTAATGTCATAAACAAGAAAATTGGTGCGTGGTCACTCATGGTAAAACTATTCTGAAAATGTCAGCTGTAACTGTCTACCTTTTAACTACCTGCAGCAAGGTAATGTTTTCTGAAGTTCATGATTTTTCTGTTGTGCTTTGGTTTGCTTCCATATTCTGAAATTTTACTTGCTCACATAACTTAAAGCAGGTTCTAGTCTGCTTAAATGCAGAAACTTTGTCTTTTTTTTTTTGCAGACAAAACCCTGCAAACAATCAAGTGGAATTGATGTAAAACCCACAGAAATCCAGTCTTAATATTTATAAAAGATCTTTTCTTGCTGGCGGATGCTCCAGTATTGATTGGAAGATTTTAAATAATGACTGATTGCTGTTTTGCTTTTGAAAACTCGTTTAGGCTTAAGGTATCCTAAACCACTGGTACCACTGGAGAAACCAGCAGCGGAGGTAGAGTCACCAGAGACGACCAGTGAATTTGGTACAGTAGAAAAAACCCAAATGGAAAAGTGTGTTTGCTGACATGTGCATTGCATAAGGCCAGCAGGCTGCTGGTTTGACAGACTTCTGCTTGCCTGTTTTGATGCATTTGGCATGTATTGCTGCAAGAAATAAAAGTGTACAGTTTTTGTTCATGTTCATATAAAGCCTTCAGTCTCAAGAATTTCAGTGATCCACATCTTCAGGTACCTATGCTTAACTTGACCAAGATGTTTCAAGCACAGGTCTTTTGGAAACTGCTGCACTATACAAGAGTTTCTAGTTAATACTTGACCAGATGAAAATCTTCATTTTTTTGAAGCAGCTCAGTATCGGCTACCTTAGACTTTTTTCTTGGAAAGTGATGTGTGTTAAATTACAATGTCCAAATATAATGCAGGAATGATACTATAATTAAAAAATTTTATTTAGTTAGCTGCCTTTGCCCTTTCCTGCCAGAGGTAAAATAAGATTGCTTCAATTAAAATAAAACATTGCTTCAATTAAAATTTGTTTTGTCTTTTGCATGTGTTTAAGCATGGGATGAATACAAAACAGATGTCATGCGCAAATATCTTTTATATCACAAATCAGAAAAAAATATCTGATTCTTAAGCCATTGTTCTTCAGCTGTGTCTTTTGTAAAATAGTACATTTTAGAGGTAAAAGGAAAATCTGTCTCCCAATAACTCTCTTGTCTAGTACAAAAGCTGCTTTTGATTCAGGGCTTTTTACAGAAGATCACTTGCAATGCAGCTTTTACTTAGAGTGCAACT